TGTTGCTTAGAACTACTTTTCAATTTAATGAGCAAACAATTCTCCTGCCCCTTCACTCCCCTCTCTTTAAGCATTAATCTCTGGGGTAAAGCACTGTCAAATGACTCCTGAAAATCTAAAACCGTAATGTCCACTGTATGCCCTATCTTGGCTGTGTTATCTTCAAAGAGCTTCAGAAGACTAGTGAAGCATGCCTTCTTTTTTCCTAAACCATGTGTGTACAACTAATCAAACTGAAGGATGCTTTTACTAGATACTCCTTCTCCTAATCTGTTAGAATTCTTTCAAACATCTTCCCTACAAATGAATTTAACCTAACTAGTCTGTAACTCCATGTGCTAAAACATTTACTACACGAAGTTCAAAGTTAAAGAAAATAATGATACAGAAGAGCATATAATTTGTGAGGGCTTGACATACACAGCTAGCATAGCTGTAGTAGAGCTAGAAAAATCTTGGTTTGCCTCAGAGTGTGTTGCCTGAATCACTATGTCACAATGACTCAAACTTTCTTCTTTCTAAACACTGGAATTATGCTGACCACTGATTGGCTTGGAGGGGGTCCTCTTACTGCCTGGAATTTCTCTGCATGGAGGTAGAGGAGCACACAAGGAGTCTCATTCATAATTCGTATAGCCTGAAGAAAGCAACATTCCAAACTGCTCTTCTCTTGCTAATTTAGTTACAGACATTGTCACTGGAAAGGAAAAGAGCCATAGACCTGGCATAGATCCAGCAGCAGACATGAAATTCTTGCTACATTCTCTGGATTGAAAGAGCTTGACATTATCCCCCAAAGATGACGTCCTTGAAAAGAATATGCATATATTCATACACCTCAATGAAAGGTAGCATTCATTAATACTTTGTCACAACACCTTTTTTCCATCTCCTATAAGGACAATTGTACAAAGTAATAACGCTATTGCCAGCCACAGAATAAGCCAATAACTTGTTATTTCTTGAAGTTCCCAGTTTCACCATTGCCAGCCATATTTACGGACTGCAGAACCTCTCTGCTGGCTTATGACAAAAGACTCTGTAGCTGGGATTGCATTATTAACCCATTGTCTAGGTGAATGACAACATAACTTCGTGCATTCATCTGCAGTGAAGGTACAAAAGGAAACAAGATGAACCAGAAGTTAAACAGCATGGTATCACTTACAGCTCTGTGTTTAGCCTGTTTATTTCTTTACAGTTGGTCACACATCCATCTTATCTGCAAGCTGTGGTGAGTGAGCCAAAATGCCAGAAATGCAAAATTGTATGAGGTCACCTTGGCATTAGTTAAATTTTCTACTTAGGGGAGACCTCATTGCAGCTTTTCAGTATTTAAAGGGACCTTATAAAAAAGATAGAGACAGACTTTTTCCATGGTCTGATAGTGATAGGAGTAGGAGGAATGGTTTTAAACTGAAGAGGAGAGATTTAGATTAGAAGTTAGCAGGAAATTCTTTACTCAGAGGGCAGGGAGGCCCTGGTACAGGCTGCCCAGATAAGTTGTGGATGCCCCATCCCCGCAGGCATTCAAAGCCAGGTTGGATGGGGCCCTTGGCAGCCTGAGCTGGTGAGAGGAAAACATGTAACCATGTCCATTGCACAGGGATTGGAACTAAATGATCTTTATGGTTTCTTCCAATCCAAGCCATTCTATGATTCTGTGATTCTATGATTTTAAGACACTTGTTCATTCTATTGAATTTACTTGCTGCTTTATGTATACATAAAATTTTTAAATATTCCTCTACCAAAGCTTCATGCAAGAATCTTTATAATTACAGTGGCTTAACAAAAATGTGCAGCTGGCATAAATTACACGATTTTTTTTTCCTGGTGGTTAGAACAGTGATTACTCTTAGATGCATTTTACAGTGATTTCAACTTACCATGTTTGTTTATCAAATGCTATCAAGAGTGTTTATTATGTAGTTAAAATACAGTAATTATTACTGTGTGACAAGGCTGACTCATAGCTACTACTGTACCCTGATAAGAACAAATATTTTCTTTTAATGTATTCTAAACAAAGTTTGGGTAAATGTAGCCTCTGTAGTCTGCAATAGCATCTGAGTGGGTAGGACTGAGCAAAGTTGTCAGAGTTCAGGACAGAAAATAACTAGAGGGTGAAAGGAGACAAAAGATAGTCTGATGTCTCCTTGCATGCTGGGGTCTACAATGACAGTGTGTTAATGAATGAACAACAAAAATGAGAATAAAACATAGTGATTTCTTGTTTCAAGAAGTTAGATTGTATGCTCTAATGAAGACTTAAGTTTTCTAAGTCCATGTATTTTCACTTCAAAGATGTATTTAGTCATGATTTAAATTCAAAGAGAAAGATTAAAAAAATGAATATTTGAGTTTCTATTTAGCGTTGCATAGTACAAATTTCTACATGATTGAAAAAAGTGTTTCAAACGATACTTGATAGGGCCTCACAGATGTGTGGTTCCTCACATTCCTTCCTCTGCCAAACAGAAAAATTAACCACAAGTATTAGATACATATTTGAAAGCCTATTGATGTAGGAATCTGTCATGTCATTCAGCTCTAACTGTTGCCCACAGAGACTTTCACAGACAGAATGGGTGAGTTGATGGCTCTTCTTGTCACAAAAATTTGAGATGAAATCATTCATATCAGCATAATTCTTACTGAAGAAGCAATCTCACATGATACATAGCATAAAAGAATAACTCTCATGGTACTGTTGCTCCTTCTGATCGTTCTTCTTCTGTACATTCTCACTATTCATGATGGTCAGCAGTAAATGATGTAGGACAAGAACAATAGCTAGGAACTAATATTTCAGGAACACAACTTACTTACAATTTTTCTTAGGCAAAACATCTCTCCGTCAGCTTTGTTCTCCCTGCTCAGTAGCCTAGCCTGAACTCCTTTGAGCCAGAAATATTTGCTTTCTTTTCCAGCTGCCCTAGATAGGGTGCTGAAGATATGTCAGTGTCCCATTCCTTGGGCATTCCCACTCTGAGTGGTCAACAATGAGCAGCAGGAACACAAAAGACAAGACAACTTTCCTGAAAGTGTTTAAAAACACAGTTTCCAAAAATTGTCAACTCTAAACCTTCTCTGTAACTTTCTGCTAGCTAGCCTAGGGAGCAGATCTATCTGCCCGGCCTTCACTATGTCTCATTGCTCATGCATCCTTTGAAAAGTAGAAAGAACAGACTTGGGGTTTACAACTCTGACTCTGACTCCAAGCTCTCCAGTGAGGAGACTGTGCTTGCTAGCACACACCTCTCCATTTTAATAAATGCATGTTTTGAAGTAAGCAGAAGTGCTCATTATATTTGCATTCCCAAATATTTATGTTTATATCAAAGTAGCAGAAACCAGTATTCAACAAATACTAAAATGGGCAAAAACTGCAAGTAAGCATCTCAAAGATTTGGTTTTGATTTACTTTTCATGGAATATTTGTAGCTGGTCTCTCAATTCTGGTGGCTAGCTCTTTATTCCATGGTTTAACACAACACTGTACCGTGAAGGAAACACTAATTCACATTCCAGCTCTTTTACTAAATGGATCAAAAACTGTACACACTTATCCCAAGTATAAAATAATCTCTTCCTAGAGCTCACTGGATTATCAGTTTCATGATGATTATGAGATAAAACAGGAGAACTGTACATTTCATTTGGACTAGAATGAGTTGTCCACAATATCTCTATTATTCACATGCATTTTGAAAGGACCAGTTTACTCAGAGAACATCAGGGCTTATCAAAAGTTGCTATTTCAGTGACCGTTGGATAAGCACTTATAAAAGATTAATATTAAGGAAATCTTCTCTGTTGTGTAATTCCCACATTTCTAGCACAATACTAAATATTAATAAAGAGTAGTAGTAGCTTCACTTGCAAGATTAAATCAATATGACTTTTTCCCCCAAACTGTTTGTTTTCTGAATCTGAAACAACACAGGGAATTCAAGAATTTCAGTGTGGGTACTATATATATCGTTTTGATTTAAAAAAAAAAAAAAAATTCTAAACCTGATACTAAACCATTCTATCTCCTCAATTTGCATGCTGTAATACACTTCAAAGCACATTTTTGCCTCATTATTATGTTGAATATGGAAATGTTTTCTCCTGTGATTAACTACGTGCATTTGCTGTATCTAGTCACCAGGTTCACTGATACTCAATGATGCTGCAAAGGGCGTGAAGTGATTAACAGGCTCCAGTTTTACACAGTGTGTGAGCATACAGCTATATACATCAGATGCTACATGAGATAATATATAGTGATAGTTTTAAAGTACACCTTCCTTAACAAACAATAAAATTGTAAATGCATAACTATTTCTAAGTAAACTGACCCAGAGCTTCTGACGTTGCAAAGCCACTAGTTGCATTCACTAAATGTTCCTCTATGGAGCCCACACATGCAATTTGTGCAGAACAGAATGAGGCTGTAATAGCCCTTTTCACACATACAGCGATCCATACCTTGGACACAACGTTTCTACACAAGCAGAAGGCATCTTAGGAAGGTGAACAGGAAGGGACAAGGGTTCTTCCTTCAGCTCCTCACTGTATGAAGAGCCCTCAGAGCCGCAGAAACCTCTGAAAGAAGAGGAGATAACGATTCATTCTCTTTTCACTCGCCCAAGCGTTACACTGCTGTAAGTTCACATCCTGAGGCAGGTTCTGTGGAGACACACCGACTGACAGGACGAGCCATCTCACCTCGAAGGCTCCTCACCGCCTTCCCCCCCCCATCGAGCGTTCTAGAAAGCGCCTCGCTCCGCTCCGGAAGCCGCGGGGACTGCCCGCTGCTGGCGGCCGTTTAGGCGGGAAGCGCCCCGCTGCCAGGTGCGTGGGGTGGAGCGGGCCGGCACGGCGGGGGGTAACGGCCGCGCAGGGCACAAGCACCTGTCACCGGCACGTGGCCCGGGGAGCGGGCGTTAAATCACAACGGATTGAGCTGCCCTCCTAGGGGAGCACGCGGGTGCTGCTGCTGGCTTACATTGCCTCTGGAGTGGCCCCCGAGGTGGGTACCTCGCACCCCGTCGGACATGGAGACCGTAAGTACCGCGCTGCGGGCTGAATGGGCTTCGTGCTGAGGGAAGGGGCAGCGCCGTGGGGCGGGATTCGTGGCGGTGCCTCACTCGGCCGAGGGCTGCGGGGTGCCGTGCTGCATTCCTTTGTGCCTTGCCTCACTGACCCGAAGGAGTGGAGAGCCGGGCCTGAGAGGTTGGTTCTGGTTTCTGCAACTCAAAGCATGAAAGTTTGCTTTTGGTCTTGGTTTTTTTGGCTATTTATTTTAACTTCTAGAGGATGCTATTTTTGTCCGTTAGCATTATGCGTGTAGCTGCTGGCTGATTGCTACCTTGTAAAGGTGCTGATGGCAGTAAGGAGGAGGCTCTGTGGTGGTAGGAAGGTACTGATGGTCTGCAGTGTTGGAGGAAAATGCTGGGTGGCCCTCTGCTTTGGTGTTATTGCTTCTATTATTTAAGGCTAAAAGCTCAGATTTAGCTTTTGGCACTGAGGTTGTAATGAGTTAAGTGAAAGCTCTGTGCCATGGGTTAACGTTTCCTTTATTTTTTCCCGCTTTACATCCTGATGCATTTTTCTCTTGGAATCCTGCAACTCATGTTGTAGCCAAATCAGCACGTATTGCCTTCAAAAGGTGGAGCCTCGCAGGTGTGAAACAGGCTGTCTTAATTACAGGACTTTGATAGCTTCAGTTGGTCACTGCTTTGCTTTCTTTATAACTGCTTTGAAAAACAGTTCTGAATTATCAACTCATGGTATTCTACTCTTTCAATTATGCCTCTATTAAAAAAAAACAATAATAATTCTAACTTTTTCTGCCCTCTCCTTTATTTTAAGTCATTGCTACTAGAAAAAATTGCAGGCATTTTGGTTGAAGCAACAAATGTGCAGGTTTTAATACTCGTGTAACAGCAGTCTGTCAGCTGTATGTGTGAATGCCCAGGGACAGGAACCTATGACAGGTAAATCACAAAGCACTGCTGCTCAAAGTCAGATGCCAAAGGCAGCTTTGGAAGTCTTCAATGAAGTTAATCCTTAGATGGGAAAGCAGACTGCTTGTAAGTTTTGACCATTTATGACCACTGATTACAAATGTGTCGCCACCTTGCTAATGCAGAAATCTGTGCTTGAGGAAGCAGAAGAGAAAAGGTGAGGTTGCAAGCCAGATTTCTGATTTAGGGATCATGTCTGGGCAGTCTTAATTCAACCCCCTTCTGTGTTATGGTGCTCATTTCATTGTTTATCATTGTGTCAACTAGCAGATAGTGCTCACACTGTACAAAAAATACTGTTGACTTGCTGGAGATCTTTGGTATATCTTTTGTCCCTTTTAAGGGAATAATTAGATTATCATATTATAAGACATAAAATCAAACTGTGGCATGTACATGTGGGCAAAAAATTGGTGTTTCTTAACTGGGGGAGTTTCAGCTTTGTAGCCTGTTATCTTTGTTGTTTTTTTGTTGTTGGTTTTTTTTTTCCAAATATGTACTTCAATGTTCTGTTGAACTGAATATATGAATAAAACCTGGCAACTTGGTCCATAGAGCTGAGCTTGCTGGCCTGTAGAAGGAACTTCGTGTATCAGGTCTTTACCTCAGTAGGCTTACTGGCAAGAATGAACAGGCTGTTAGATAAGCTAATGCAAGAGAGACCAGGGTTCTGTTCTCTGGGTGGATTTCAGAGATGCTTGGTGACCGCAGTTTTCTGAAAACCTGTGTTCCTAAATTCAGTACCATTCTGTGTGGGCCCAGCTATTCCTATCCCTCCTGTATTCCCTACGATCTGTCACTTAAGTGTGCTTTTTGTCCTGTGTTCTCCACAGTAGGAGCAGTTTCTAAATTTTTTTTTTTTTTCTTAATTCCTCTATGCTGTTGGGATTTTCTGAACATGATGCCTTTTGGAATGGTATCTTCCCTCTGTTCTGGTACTTGTTGTTATACTGGCCACTTCCTTCATCTACTAGAGGTATTTTGATTAAAATTCATGTTCAGTCCCTTCTTCCTGTGCAGTCTCAATCATTCATGAATTAACCCTTGCAGTAGCTCTGTGGTAAAGAAGCATTCATTTTCCCATACCCGAGAGAGGAAGGAAGGTGTGCTGATTGATGCAGAGGTACATAGCAATGGCAAAGCAGTGGAAATTCCACGTGAAGCCCCTGGTGTCTTATCACCAGTTTGCCTAAGGAGCAAAACTTGCTCCCCAGAGCTGTGCTTTCCCCACCTATTCCTCCTTCCTCAGTGGCCAGACCTTGTTTTCTGAATTTTTCATCACTTTCCTTCTTTAGTACTCCATTGTAGAAGCATCAGATGCATAGTTAATGAAAGGAGCTGCCCTCCACAAAGGAGAAGCAAGAGTTCCAGGCCTGTTCACCTTGAACTTAGTCTTTGTAGCTTGAAGTGTTTTACAGGGGGAACGCTTACATCCTGATAAACACACGTTGAACAGTAAGCAATGTGTTGCAGATTATATCAGTCATATCCATAAGGCATTGTTTTACTAGGAAGGAAGAAAACAAGAAGATTATTTTAAAATTAAGAGAAAACTAATACTAACACTTGAAGTTAAATCTCTGTCTAATAAAGCCTTTAAACCTTTCTTGATAGTACAAGATTGGCATGCTGTCTCACGTTATTTGAAAGGCTTTGAAAACTGCTCTGCCATATCTAAATATTTCAGTTAACAAAGTTAATACATCTGGATGGTATGATTTTATGGATGTTTTTTCAGAAGTTTGAGTCTGGCATTTGAAAAGCCTGAAAGAATAGAGCCCTGGCAATTAGATCTTATTTGTTTTCTTTTGTACTTGTCAGCAAATTTTGACACCCACAGGTGACGACACATCCAGGACTGTATTTTAGGTATTTCAAATGCGTGTAGTATTTTTTGATGGGAAAAGGTTTTCATTAGAAGCTGATGCTTCTATCTTTTGCTTTTGTTTTCCTGCTGTTGTTACAAGCAGGTGCTGTACTTTCTTTCCTTTGCAGAATACACTGGGAAAAAAATCAATGCTGCACCTTTATATTGAATGCAGGTCAGTTTCTGCTGGAGAATGGCTGGGCCATTCCTATCTTAATTTTGTTTGTAAATAACACTTAAGCGTTGTTTCCAAAAATTTCTGAAGTGTTTCTAAAATACTTCTAGTGCTGGGCCCTCAGTAACATTTACATCTATTTCATCCTGAAAAGTCTCTCATCATTCTGGGTATTGATTCACACAGTTGTACTTCTTTTCATCTTAGTAGGTAGAGGATTTTGCTTCAGACACTTCTGTAACTTTTTCATTTCTTTAAGTGCAGACCTGCATATCACTACATTATTACAAATGTACAGACTACTTAGCAGATGATGTCTTGTTTATTTTATTTTTTGGGGTCTATCCCATATTGCTTCATACTTCCAAAGTCAGCTCTTACAGCGTGACTGGAACCAAATGTTACTTCCTAGCTAAAAGTAATGTATGATACATGAAGTGTCAGGCAGTTTGTCAGGAGTAAGGAGGAGATGGCCTTAAGGCAAACAGTTTGCTCTTTAGAATATAATGGTTACTTAACCCTTTAACTTGTATTGCACATGTATATAGAATAAACTTGGGAAAAAATTGTTCTCAGGATACTCATGTGAACCACACAAGCAGATATTAATTCTGCATCCAGAAATGTCAGCAAATTAGAACGAGTGTGCAGCCCATCAGCATCTGTATAGACAAGCAGTTTAAATGATTAACAACTCTGAGTTACTTTCCTGTGCACTCTTGTTGCCTTAAGAGTTGTAACGTTATCAGTAACATGTTTCCTAAGTTAAAAAGACTTGTCATGTTTGGCTTTTATGATCAAAGTTCGGCACTGAATATTATGTTGCTTTCCAACAGTATGCACAGAAATAATACTTTTGGTGTACTTTCTTCTAAAATGACATAGAACTGAAGTCTTTTGTTTCTAATTGTGTAAAGAAAAGCTGATAGTCAACCTGAATCTTCTTGGAAAGCAAATGAATAGTTATGCTAGGAAGTGAAATGCTTGGTTGGTGGTCAGTAGTGTGTTACCTTTGCAGTGTTTTCTACCAGCACCTGTTTCTTGTATGAAAAAGCCACACACAAACTGTGAGATGTGCATGCTGTGTTCAGGGCAGCCTTTGAAATGGCCTAGATAGCTGTTTGTAAAGCCATGCAATAGATGCAGTGAGGACTGGGGTCGCTCTTATTCTTGGAGCTGTGGCCTCCTGCTTGCTGTTTGTAGTCACAGGTCCTGTTATCCACAGTGCTACATCATGAACCTTGAACACAGTTCAAGTCTGTTTATATGGACATAAAATTGGTTCTGCCTTTCCATTTGAAAGGGGTTTGCATTCATGCTGATGGGCTTTTAGCGACAGCTTTCCTACTGTTCAGTCACTGGGTACTTTTAAGAACCACTATGTGTATCTTGTTATACTTTTTTCTTTAGAGCAGTATTTCAGAAGGCAAATTGTTTTTAACAGTGTTATTTTTTACGTGGCTTCTGTTTTCATTTGTAAGTAGCTGTTTTAGACCCTAAGTGAACAAAGTACTTAAGCACATGTGCAACTTTACGCCGAGGGACTGTTCACAGACTCAGAAGTTGCATGCAAATTTATGTCCCTGGGACCAGATCAAACCCAGGGAAACAGTTGTAGAGTTTATGGTACGGCTTTTGGATTAGAAATCCTGTTGATTTAAGGCCCGAAGAGTCTGTTTGGCTGAAGGGCGATTAATGGGCATTTTGATTCCAAGGTTAAGCAGTGTGCTTGGTATGAAAAAGGGAGCACAGCGAGCAGAAGTTGGAGAGCAGTTTCATTTTTTGATAAACGTATTGGATCGCAGTATGGTACGAAAGAAGGAATGTTGTGTAATGCTAACTCTTCACTTCTAATTCTCGACTTTAAGGAAATACGAGTGCTGATGGACTGCTTATCGCTGCTAGCTGCCTCTCTGTCTCTTAGTTATCCAAGCTGTATTAAGCTGGATCAAGGCATTTTCCCTTCTTTCTAACGCACAAATAGCAAAGGCAGCT